CGGTTTCCATCGATATTCCATTGTGTTTTTATTTGCATATGTTGCCAGACGACACAAGACACGATATTCGGGACGAAATTTCTTTATCTGCAGTTTGAAAATTTTATGAAAAAAATAAGTATCAAAAGCTTGTTTCATGCATCTTGACTGAATACTTAATCCACTCACAGTTGTTTCCAAGTTTCAGATGTTAAAACAAATGAAGGCAAATATACTTGATCGTCAACCGCTTCTTTGTAGCCAACAACGTACAAGCCAAGCTGCACAGAATACAACTGATCGTCACTAATTCGAATGTTATGATCGATGTAGTCAAGGTCTGGGTTGGTAAAATTTCTAGGGTACCAAGATATTGGCATCACCTGAAATTCGACTTCAGTAGTTCAAAACAGCTAGAAAAAATGATCAAAATCTTTTCAAAAGAAATATCCTCAGTCGAATAGCCCAGGTAACGACTTAGGTTTGCCAATACGTCCATATGTTTTTGCTCTAAACCAGAAGCAATCAGATCGTTAACAGTATGAGTGGTTGCTGCTTTACAGTTCAACATGCGCGCTCATGTTGACTGCATCCTGCTCATTTCTTGCATGCGGGGGAAACGACGTCAGCTCAGACGGTGGCGTAGCATCGTTGGGCCACGTGAAATCAACCTCCAGCATGCATGATTGCCGTAAATGTTGCAGAGAGAAAACGAATAATGCCGAAAACCGGTTCTTCAATGAAAATGAAGGGAGGATAATTAACACGATGTCGAGATAGAAGATGAAAAAATTCGAGCAAGATGCAATCGTTTGTATGCGTGTTTGCTTATTTATGTAAATGCAAATACGCATATTGTAACGACCCATGAGGTGTTTATTCGTCTGTCCAGGTATTTCACTTCGACAACCAGATAAGTTTTGATGTTGAAATTTTGTCAGTGAATTTCTTGGCCAAGCACTATGTCCCATACGCATGTTCGAGTTCCATGTATGGGCACGTGAAAATTTTGAGGTGAAAATTGCTAATTGGGGGAACAGAAATGCTGGAAGGCTGATTTTAAGGAGGATTTTTTTTTTTGTATCATTAGGTTTTCATTCTTATTATTCTTTTTTGCTCAGTCGTACAGCTTAAAGGCTCCAAATTCAGTTCCTAAGCACGCTTGGTTTTCACGCACAGGGGAAATTTTTAGCAAGAGAATTGCTAACTCGGGAGCCAGAACAGATAGGTCATTTAACCAGTTGCTGGAAATTCATTTCCCTTCATGCAAAATTAGCGGCAATTTTAGGTGGCGGGTATACAAGTTAAATGTAAAGCAAAAACCATTCATAAGTTAATGATCTGATTGCCTCAAGTTCGGCGTAAAACGCATGATTGCGCAAGCAAGCCTAGTGAATCACAACCTAGGTTGAGGCTAAGGTAGAATTAAGCATATCTCATGTCTGTGTGCAGGAGATTTATCCTTCAGTCTGACTTTAGACTACATGTGGATATAGAATATTCTTGGTAAATTTCAACTTCCCAGCCTGCCCGGCATCTCAATCGTCACTTCGCCACAACTATATTTTTGTTGTAGATGAAAGTGTCAAGCAAGTGCAATTCAAGACTCCATTTAGAAGTCCGATTCTCTAGATAGACAATAAACATTCTAGCAAAATTACAGCTATCATTTTCAGGCGACTTTTCGAGTCGGCACGGTGCCAGCTGCAAAGTTTAAAGTGATCGTAGACGTAACGCAATAGTGCTCGATAGTTAAATTAGGAATCTTTAGCTCATACATGAACAGAGAATGTTCATGGAAAGCTTCAGCTTCCCAGGTTCTCACGCCTTCAAACACGCACACAAACATACACTGCCTCTTGGCAATATGATTAAAAAACACATAAAAAACTGGAATTCATACGGTCTGTGGTATTGGATTCTTGAACCATTCATAAACATTTCCAATATCGAGACGCATCGGATCTAGCGTTGGAGGTACTAAAATGGCTATAAATTTAAACACAGTCGGCTGAGGAAATTGGGACAACTGCAGTTGTTAAAAGACGGAAAAGTGTTTCTTTTTTATATTTCTCTCGAGTTTCAGAATGTAAAGAAACAAAAAAAATTTAATTTTAAAAACACTCCAGCTAGCGATTCATTAGGCTTGCTGACGCGATCACGCGTTTTTATTCTAAAATTGAAGTAGCCAGATCGTCAACAGTATGAATGATCACTTTTTACAGTTTAATACGTGAGCACATGTTGGCTGTTTTTGGCCTTTTCTTGCATGCAGCGTCAGCTCGGACGGTAGTATTGCACAATGAAACCGCGTAGACCCCCAGCGCACATGTTTACCTTCGCTACAAACATTTCAGTACAAACATCTTTGAACTGCCCTAAGGAGTAGCACAAACGTAAATCGAAACTCGGTTTAGGTATACAATCCAGATAGATGATAAATATCCTGGCAAAATCACAGCTACTGTTTTTCAGCAAGTTTTTGGGTTTGCCCGGTGCCAATTTGCAAAATTTGACATGACTGTACGGATGACTCAAGCGTGCGCGATAGCTGAATTTGAAATTTTTAGCTCACACATGGACAGAGAATATCCTTACTATGCTTCCTAAGGCTACCGGTTCCCATAATCGTTTTCCTTTTTGCCATAAATTTACATATTGCTCAAAGGCTTTCACACGTAGGATCGAGCAATGACTTCAAAACAGAAGGATGGCACACGGGGTGGGAACATGTTCTCAGAATTTCAGCTTCCCAGCTTTTATCGTTGCTGAGTTGAAAGTGGATGACAAAATTCACTCGCTTCTGAATACACACTAACAGATACGGGCAACTTCTCGACTGTATGCGTTTTTGTATTGGCATAATATGCGAAAACGCATAACAATTTCAGTTTTCACTGGGCTGTATAGTGAATAAATGAAGTAAAGAAGCAGTGCGGAATAAAACCATTAAACGCTAACCAGTTTTCAGCATTTTCTGTAAAAAAATCGTGGCTTACCGAAGTAGATATAACCGACGAAAGCTTTATCATCAGTGCTAGCACCAGTCTGTGGTTGAAAATAAACGGTTTTAGTGCCCCAGTCATAGATTTTTGGCAGATGGCAACGCGCAATTGCTGAGTTGATCACTGTACAAGATGCTGTTTGGCGCTGTTCGATCATTAAAATATATGTCTGGGTGCGATCGAGGCAAAGCGCATTGACATCCACAACTGTTTCACCGAGCATATTCGCAATGTTCGGATAAATCAGCATCGGAACTAAAAATTTTTCAATTTAATTTTTCATTTTCATTAGCTGAAAAACTCAAATTCATCACTGAACTGAAATAGCTGAGAAAAATCATATCTGAAAGAGATATCACCAAGATCGCTCGGATAATTTGCGTTAGACCTATGATGGCAGTGAGAGGAAGCCAAACGCACGCACAGTTATAATAAAACTTTCTGTACTACGCTACTTTACCTTCCCTTGTGAGTCACTAGATCTAAGGTGCGAGCGCAATGCCCAGTTGGGGGCTGTCTCTCGCCATACCGATTAAAAAGAATTTAAATTTGAAA